GGAAGACACCCCTAATACAGGTAGGCTTACAATTCCGCCCTACCTACATGTCCCACTGTCAAAACATAACATCGACCAGCCAGTCTGTCTGACAACAACACATTCTCTCTCTCTCTCCTCTCTCTCTCTCTCTCTCTCTCTCTCTCTCTCTCTCTCTCTCTCTCTCTCTCTCTCACTCTGACTTTTTGGGTTATCGTAGGTAATCTACACATGCTGCTATGTATGATAATTTATGTAACTGTATTTATGTGTACCAGTACCTGAATAAACTTACATGCTTTACACGTACCGTAATAATCCATGCATAATACACTGTATGCTAACAACGTGAATGCTATTGTTTAACAGATTATAACAAGCCGGGGGTTGATATGGACCTGTCCCGCATGGGCCAGTAGGCCTGCTGCAGTGTTCCTTCTCTCTTATGTTCTCTTATGTTCTTAACCTCACCACTGCATCTCATTTGGCTTTCCAATGACTTTATCTAGATAATAAAGCAGCCAATAAAAGTACTCTTCGCATTCTTAAATATTAGTATAAATAAAGATTTATACTACTATATACATTTCTTTAAAAATATCCTTAGTAATATTTGATTTAATATTACTTAAAGAATTTATGAGGCAGCGGGAAGAGTTCTGTCAGAGGAACTCATCACTTGATGTAAAATGGTTCAATGATCAAGGGATCATTTACTATCAATACTGACACCTGTGTCTCCTGACACAGGTGTTGGTCAGTTGAGGACCCGTCACAGGTTCAGCATCCCCCGATTACCCCAGCTATGTATTACTCCCTCCCCTCCATGTATAAAAAAAAAAAGGAGTGTCACTACATGGTAACGTGAAGATACCCTTACGGGTATCCAAAGGGTGATGAAGAAGATTCTTCCCCCTTTCTCACCTCAAGTATTGACATGGTATCAGTAACCCAGTGACTAGTTTACCTCACATATGTCAATATATCAAGAACTCAGCGGTTAGTCCTCCCTTTCCCTACGTATGACAAGATGTCAACAGCTCAGCGGTTCCGGGTTGGATCCATGGGTAAATTGCGACGAATAAGCAGGTCTCCTTTACAGTTGTCTTCGTTCACCTCGCAGTAGACAGACATCGTTCACCTCGCAGTAGACAGACATCGTTCACCTCGCAGTAGACAGACATCGTTCACCTCGCAGTAGACAGACATCGTTCACCTAGCAGTAGACATACATCGTTCACCTAGCAGTAGACATACATCGTTCACCTAGCAGTAGACAGACATCGTTCACCTAGCAGTAGACAGACATCATTCACTTCGTAGTAGACAGACATCATTCACTTCGTAGTAGACAGACATCATTCACTTCGCAGTAGACAGACATCATTCACTTCGTAGTAGACAGACATCATTCACTTCGCAGTAGACAGACATCGTTCACTTCGTAGTAGACAGACATCATTCACTTCGCAGTAGACAGACATCATTCACTTCGTAGTAGACAGACATCATTCACTTCGCAGTAGACAGACATCATTCACTTCGTAGTAGACAGACATCATTCACTTCGCAGTAGACAGACATCATTCACTTCGCAGTAGACAGACATCATTCACTTCGCAGTAGACAGACATCATTCACTTCGCAGTAGACAGACATCATTCACTTCGTAGTAGACAGACATCATTCACTTCGCAGTAGACAGACATCATTCACTTCGCAGTAGACAGACATCATTCACTTCGCAGTAGACAGACATCATTCACTTCGCAGTAGACAGACATCATTCACTTCGTAGTAGACAGACATCATTCACTTCGCAGTAGACAGACATCATTCACTTCGTAGTAGACAGACATCATTCACTTCGCAGTAGACAGACATCATTCACTTCGTAGTAGACAGACATCATTCACTTCGCAGTAGACAGACATCATTCACTTCGTAGTAGACAGACATCATTCACTTCGCAGTAGACAGACATCATTCACTTCGCAGTAGACGGACATCATTCACTTCGCAGTAGACGGACATCATTCACTTCGCAGTAGACAGACATCATTCACTTCGCAGTAGACGGACATCATTCACTTCGCAGTAGACAGACATCATTCACTTCGTAGTAGACAGACATCATTCACTTCGCAGTAGACAGACATCATTCACTTCGTAGTAGACAGACATCATTCACTTCGCAGTAGACAGACATCATTCACTTCGTAGTAGACAGACATCATTCACTTCGCAGTAGACAGACATCATTCACTTCGTAGTAGACAGACATCATTCACTTCGCAGTAGACAGACATCATTCACTTCGCAGTAGACAGACATCATTCACTTCGCAGTAGACAGACATCATTCACTTCGTAGTAGACGGATATCTTGGTGCTATTCGAGATAAACCCAAAAACTTTATACACTTGTTCACTTGTGTTTAATAGATTATTCTGTAATATTTTAAGAAATTTAATTTTTCCCACTAAAAAAAATATTTTAGGTAAAAAATATAGTATAAATTTAACGCTTAAATTTATAATGATAATATTTTAATTATTATTATTATTATTATTATTATTATTATTATTATTATTATAGATTTAAATTAAATTTTCAAATTTATTAAAAAAAAAAAAAAGTCATCTATGATACAGTAAAACATAGCATTCATAACACTGAATTTTTATTGACATTTGTTAAAAAAAAGTTATATGTCGATTATCATTTTACTTTTAACAATTATAATAATTTCAGCTTGACTTTTTTGACACTGTCGCTTTTTATCTGTTTTCTGGTGTGCCGAATAACTTTTAAACTGGAAATTTCTATATACCTTGCACAACTTTTATTTTGAATAACAATGTATTTAAAATTCCGCAGCAGCGTAACTCGCCAACATGTCAGATAAATTGAGGTTAACGTTAATTGACACAATGCAGCTCCCGCGTCTTTCGACCCACACAAGGATGGGGTCACCTTGTTTTACAGACCAGTGACCCAGATTTTGTCCTAAACGTTGCTTGAAGAGAAGGAAACTTAACTGCATTCACTCGGTATTGACCAGGATAGTGCTATCCACCCCTGTGTTGGCCAGGATAGTGCTGTCCATCCCTGTGTTGACCAGGATAGTGCTATCCATCCCTGTGTTGACCAGGATAGTGCTGTCCATCCCTGTGTTGACCAGGATAGTGCTATCCATCCCTGTGTTGACAAGGATAGTGCTATCCATCCCTGTGTTGACCAGGATAGTGCTATCCATCCCTGTGTTGACCAGGATAGTGCTATCCATCCCTGTGTTGACCAGGCTAGTGCTATCCATCCCTGTGTTGACCAGGATAGTGCTGTCCATCCCTGTGTTGACCAGGCTAGTGCTATCCATCCCTGTGTTGACCAGGCTAGTGCTATCCATCCCTGTGTTGACCAGGCTAGTGCTATCCATCCCTGTGTTGACCAGGATAGTGCTATCCATCCCTGTGTTGACCAGGATAATGCTATCCATCCCTGTGTTGACCAGGATAGTGCTATCCATCCCTGTGTTGACCAGGATAGTGCTATCCATCCCTGTGTTGGCCAGGATAATGCTATCCATCCCTGTGTTGACCAGGATAGTGCTATCCATCCCTGTGTTGACCAGGCTAGTGCTATCCACCTCTGTATCGACCAGGCTAGTGCTATCCACCCCTGTGTTGACCAGGATAGTGCTATCCACCCCTGTGTTGACCAGGATAGTGCTATCCACCCCTGTGTTGACCAGGATAGTGCTATCCATCCCTGTGTTGACCAGGATAGTGCTATCCACCCTTGTGTTGACCAGGCTAGTGCTATCCATCCCTGTGTTGACAAGGATAGTGCTATCCATCCCTGTGTTGACCAGGCTAGTGCTATCCACCCTTGTGTTGACCAGAACAGTGTTATCCACCCCTGTGTTGACCAGGCTAGTGCTATCTGAAACGTTAAAGAATTCATTAGATATTAAACGCGCGTTATGTAGTAGGAGGGCCAAAGGCCATCCATCGCTGAAGAAAGTTCTTCCTTCAAGACGGGTTCCTTTATGCCAGTGAAGAGCTCTTGATCTATAGCGGTTGATTATTTACTGACAACCAGCACCGATAAGCCAGGAGTTGCTTAATCACTGACACCCTACAATGGTAAGCCAGCGGTTGCTTACTAGCTCAACGGGACATCTGACGAAGTCCTGAGCCAAGAGACGATTCCTTGATTCTTCTTAACACGGAAAACACTCATTCCCCCTTTCCTATCCCTTGATCTCTGCCCTAGACAAGTCTAAGAATGGTAGAGAAATACTTGGCACGTATCGCCCTTCGCCAAGCTCCAAAAAATGCAGTCAATAATCGAGGTTTGCTCTGCCATCCTTCAGGAAGTAGGAATGTCAAGAGGAGGCTTAAGCACATGACCGGATCACTCTACTGCACTAGTCTGACCATCTTCTGGGAGTCACAACACTCATCAAGAACACACAAAACATTATCCAAAACAAAATTTTTATCTGACCCCCCCCCCCAAACAAAAAGAAAATATTGTCTTACATTCAAGTAACTCTAATATCTTGCCTGAAAACATACATTAAGTCCAATAAATAGTCTCATACTCTTCAGTAACTTCATTACTTACCTCTGACCCTAAAGTAATTTGGTTTCTTTATAAGCAGCTCCAGTGTTTTATTTTTAAGCATTTTTTCTTGCAAGTCTAATCAAATAACTTTACTCCCCAATTGACTTTAATTCACAATTCAATTACAATTTCTTGTCAACAAATGTTATAAGACAGTAACTGATAGCTTTCTGTAGAGATCAACATTGTGTGATCTCTCCCTCGAGTGACTGACCTTGTGTGACGTCTTGCTCGAAACTAACCTTGTGCGACCTGTCCTTCGAGTGACCCCGTGTATCCTCTCGCTCGAGGCTGATCTTGTCCGACTCTCCTGCAAGAAGCAGAGAGAACGTACGTGTACGTTACTCTAGTGTCAATTATTTAGGAGAGAGAGGGAGTGCATCACTTACTTTGTTGGTAGCTTCGAGGACCTGCCTGCTGGTGATGGGATAAAGGCGGCGGCCCCCAGTCATCCACTGCCTTCTGCCTTGCCCGGGCGTGGATGGCCCCTCTAGGAGGGATCCGTGGGGGCCCTCGGGGACCAGTGAGGGTTCTACATCACCTTCTGAGCCACCTGACCAGTGTTCCGGTGCCCAGCTCTCGCCACCTGAGAGGAGGGCAAGTGCAAGTTAAGAGACAGCGGTTAGAGATATAGCGCTGTATGACCCACATGGGGTTAGCGATTAGTTTTGATTGTGATAATAATAATAATAATAATAATAATAATAATAATAATAATAATAATAACATTAATGGTTAGAGGTGATCACTGTTCAACGGGGTAAAGCTACTCGTAATTACCTATTTGTTGTTACAGGAGCACAGATATTGTTCTATGAAAACTTATACGACCAGCAAAGAGGCGGGGTCAGGAGCTATGAATCGACCCCTGCAACCACATATAGGCGAGTACACACACACAAGATGTTCCAGAGATGGGACACAGAAACAAGGGGTCACAACTGGAAGTTGAAGACTCAGATGAGTCAGATGTTAGGGAGTACTTCTTTAGTCAGAGTTGTCAGGAAGTGGAATAGTCTGGTAAGTGATGTAGTGGAGGCAGGAACCATACATAGCTTTAAGACGAGGTATGATAAAGCTCATGGAGCAGGGAGAGAGAGGACCTAATAGCGACCAGTGAAGTGGCGGAGCCAGGAGCTATGTCTCGACCCCTGCAACCACAAATAGGCGAGTATACAAACACACACACACACACACACACACACACACACACACACACACACACACACACACACGGATGCTGCCACTCACCTTCACTCCTGATGGCGTTGACTTCGTGTGCGTGGTGTCTTCGGGAGTCGAGGAAGGCTCTGAGGGAGACTCTGCCTCTGCGGTCAGCACCCAGCTCCCGGGCTAGCGTCTCGCCCGACCCCTCCAGACCCAGCATCTCCAGCAGCCCGCACAGGTTGGCGCTCCACACAGGAAATAAAACCCATAAGGACATATTTCCACTCATAGGAGAAGCGCTAAATCCACAGGGAAATCATGCAGCAGCTAGGGAATGGAAGGCAATGAGATTCGATCCATGAAAGGAGAGGGCAGCTTTAATATATGGGATCAAGAGCCCTTCACTAGCATAAAAACATCAAGGTACACATATACGACCATAAATTATGTGAAGAGTGTTATGATGAGAATAACATTATGATACACTGTACCTTGTTTACTGCCACTGCTGATGATGATAATGATACCCCCTGGCACTCACCTGATGCTGATGATAATAATGATACACCTGCAGCTGCTGGTAATGATACATCTGCAGCTGCTGGTAGTGATAATGATACACCTGCAGCTGGTGGTAATGATACACCTGCAGCTAGTGGAATTAATGATAATGATACACCTGCAGCTGCTGGTAATGATACACCTGCAGCTGCTGGTAATGATACACCTGCAGCTAGTGGAAATAATGATAATGATACACCTGCAGCTGCTGGTAATGATGATACACCTGCAAGTGTTGTTGTTGCTACTACTGTTGTCGTTACCGGTGTTGCATATACAGGAGATACCGCTGTTACTTTGCTGCTGCTGTTGCTACTATTGTGCTACCGTTGCCTCTGCTATTATTGATATTGCTAAACACACACACACACACACACACACACACACACACACACACACACACACACACACACACACACACACACACACAAATAGGTGAGTATACACACGTTCTCCATATGGTGTGTGACCCCGCCCCCTGACCCACCTCTTACACAGGTAATACAGGTACACACACACATGAACGTATACGTGTGTGTGTGTGTGTGTGTGTGTGTGTGTGTGTGTGTGTGTGTGTGTGTGTGTGTGTGTGTGAAAATAGTCATGTGCCTAAGAATCGTTCATGGGTACATTACTTTAAGAAGGCAGTAAGGATTCTTATGTGGTAGGCACCTAAGTACTCGCTGAAATATATTCACGTAGGATTAAGTACTGAAGGCAAGGCATACTTTCTCCAGAGACATAAATCCTTAAGAGACGCGAAGCACAGGTGCCGGACCAGGTCGCGTTACCTCATGCATAAGTCACTCAACTCATCCTAAAGCAGCAGCAACAACAGCAGTAAAAGCAGCACGATCAACAACGAAAACAACAAAACCAGCAATATGAAATGACAAAAACTAAAGCAACAATAAAGACAAAAAAAAAGTATTCGGAAATATTATTTGAGGCCTAGTTTGGGACCGGGCCGAGGAAGCATTAACTTCAGGAAGCATCCTTCAGGTATCCTTTAGGTATCCTTCAGGTATCCTTCAGATATTCTCCAGGTATCCTTCAGATATCCTTCAGGTATCCTTAAGATATTCTTGATATCTTTCAGGTATCCTTCAGATATCCTTAAGATATTCTTCAGATATCTTTCAGGTATCCTTCAGATATCCTTCAGGTATCTCGTTATTGTATTCCCCGCACAATGATTTAAATGCATCAACAGCTGCAGAGACAGTATATTTTGCCTTCGTCGTTTCATATATGCAGAATGCATGCACGTTAAGATGTTGGTGTTGTGTCGACTTGGAACATCAGGCAGAAACACTTTGAAAGAGCAGAGACGTTCACCTTAGGAGAGAGGAAAGCACCCTGCATATCTCCCCTCCGTAATTACCTTCGGCACCACCCTCTGAAAACGGAAAGCTATTGTGCCCACCCTCTCAGCTCTCGTTCTACTCTCTCAGTTCTTCCCCGCCCTCTCAGCTCCACCCCTTGCCTTTTCAACTCCAGCTTTACCTTCTCAGCTTCCGCCAAACACACTCAGTCCTCTCAGCCACTACCCGTTCAGCCCCTTCTTACTCCAGATCCTCTCAGCCCTCTCATCCCCCACCCTCTCGACCCCCCACTGTAATACTCTCACGTATTTCAGCTTCTTTCAGGTGCCTGAAGTGGAAAGGAGAGGAGGGAGAGAGGTCTTCATCCCTCCACCACACTCCTTTCATTATTATTCTCATTCTCACTTCTACTCTCGCACTCTCTCCCTCACTCTCACCCTGGCAGTCACTCTCCCTTTTGAGCCCTGTCTCACTCTTGCACTCTGACGGTATTTATAAAGACATACAAAATACCTCTAGCACGGGTGCTCGGTATTCTTTGGAGAAGCTTACATTCAGGTGAAATTCCAAAGGTCTTAAAAGTGCTAACATAGGCCGTCTTCACAAAGGAGGCAACAGAGCTATTAAAACAAAAAGTAAACAGCAGTAACACTAAAATTTCACATTATAAAAATTTACCGATTTAATGGAAAATGACCCCTCAAGGAAGGTTCCTTGATGTTGGTGAGGGGCTCTTGATTTAGGGAATTGGATCTGTGCTCCAGTTCCCCGAATTAAGCCTGAATGCCTTCCACATCCCCCCCCCAGGCGCTGTATAATCTTCCGGGTTTAGCGCTTCCCCCTTGATTATAATAATAATATAATAATGGAAAATGAGCTATTCAACCCAAGTCAACATGACTTTAGAGATCATACTTGTGACAACTGGTAAATCACTATGATAAAAATCACAGTGGCTTTGTAAGATAATCCAAATAGTGAAAGTATTTAGACGGAATTTTGTCAAGATAGTCGACAGATGTGATCATGTGGCGATACAGTCGACATGTGATCATGTGGTGATACGGTCGACAGATGTGATCATGTGGTGACACAGTCGACAGATGTGATCATGTGGTGATACAGTCGACAGATGTGATCATGTGGTGATACAGTCGACAGATGTGATCATGTGGTGATACAGTCGACAGATGTGATCATGTGGTGATAAGACCATTAAGATGAGGCCAGTTGGTATAACAGGAACAATAGGAGAATGGGTATTCGAATTTCTGACAAAACATCACACACAGTGTGGAAGCAAGCAAAACAAAGTTCAGTCTCGTCAAAGTGCAACTTCAGTTCTACAAGGTACTGTCTTTGCATCTTCACTGTGGCATCCTTCGTTCACGATACTAAAGTATGAAAGTCTCCTTGACAGAAGACAGAAACATTCCATACGGATATTAGAAAAGTCTTCCGACGGACGAATTTTAATACCATAATGTCAGATGATCTAGTGTTTAAGTACAATAAAGAAACTGCAGCATAGGCCAGGAAAATGATGAAATGTAGTCTGAGGACTTTCAAAACAAGAGACAACGCCAGTGTTTTTTTTTTTTTTTTTTTTTTTTAAACACCGAGATATATTCTCACACCTCGAACATCATCCTGTGCTCGCTGCGCCTTTCAAAACTAGATTGCTAACAGAGCTGGAAAATGTACAGAAGTTATTTACTGCCAGCACAGAATCTCTACCACACTTAAACTACTGGGAATGCCTCCAATTTACCGAAGGGAATGATATAAGAGTGTAGAATACACAAAGTGAAAGGCAGGGGCACCCTAGGCATGTCAGAAATATCGGAGCCATGGGAAAAATTGTCCAGAAGCTGGACCAAATCTTCGGCAAGTGCCTGATCAACAACAGCCTGATTGTCAAAGCGGTCAACAGGGTAGCCTGGCCTCAGGCAGGATTACGAGGGTAAAAGACCTAGAAACAACTCGATCTCACTCATTTTCACTGTCCCTTGCAATCATTCTCTTTCGCACTCATTTTTACACTCTTGTGCTCGCGTTCACTAACAAGATCGAAGGCAGTCCCCGTTAAAATCCCTCCTCCTGTCTTTAAACCTATATTGTAATAGACCATCCTGATAGATGGTAATTACCACGTAACAGTAACTCCAGTACTGCTGGAACCAATATTTGAAGCAGTCATTAATAGTGAACCCATAGTTGAGTGTTTGACGATCTTCTCATCGCCATACTGAAGACTCCCAGCTCAGGATGGGCGACTTAATGTATAAAACTCACCCTCAGTGATGGACTATGACAGGGAAACATAACTTGCTTATGTTTGTACCATGTAACCCCTCATGTATAATTGGATAGCCACACACTGCGGGTCTTCCTGCCATGTACCCCTCAAGTGAGGTTCCTTGAAGCTGGTAAGGGGCTGTTGATGTAAGGAATTGGATGTGCTGCAGTTCCCTGAATTATCCATGAATACCTTCCACATCTCCCCCCCCCTACAGGGGCTGTATAATCCTACGGGTTTAGTACTCCCCCTTGATTATAATAATAATTCCTGCCACGTAACTCTCATACAGAATAGAGTGGCAATACTGAGGGTGTTCCCACACTGTAACTCATATAAAGAATAGAGTAGCTGCACAATGCGTGTGTTCCTACACTGTAACTCTTATAAAAGCGGTAGCCAAAAGCTACCGAATTTTTTATAAGCTAAAAGATTAAAATAAAACATTCGGGCTCCGGTGAACATAGTCCTGCATGATCCCGCCTCCGCCCGTATCAACGCTCATGGCCCGAGTGTTGATCTCTGTCTCGACTCAAGTCTTCGTGTTGAGAGAAGATATTACTACTTCAATATTCCTTTTGCCGGGATACCACTTTAAATGTCGCCGCGAGTGGCAATGCAGTGCCCCCTCTTCTCCCCTCGTCTTCCTCTTCCTCCTCTCTCTTCACCTTTCTCCTCATCTTTCTACACCTCTTTATTTTTTGTCTCTCCGCACACAGGTATGACAAAGACCAAAAAAACAGTAATGAGACCAAGACAGTTCCTCATATACGTCAACGGCTTGAAGACACGACACACACTACACAACATGATTTTATTGCGACTGTAATTCGCTTTTAAGAGTTTTATCGAGTCATGACTTTATTCTTAATAGCTAATAAAACTCTAACAGAGGAGAAACGCTGTCCCAATAAAACCTTGTTCAGCAACGTGTCGTTTCGATAATATTGTTGGAAGTGCGTTATGTCAACGACTTGCAAGAGTAGATAAATCCTACTCTTTGCTATTAACAGATGATGTGAAATTAATAAGCAGAGTGAAGGAGAAAGCATACAAGAAG